TCCACCTCTCAGCAGACCAGAGGTGGCAGATCCTCTTTCCAATACAATCGAGGAGGACGTCGTCCCCGTACTACAATACAATGCCAAATATGCAGCAAACCAGGGCATGCTGCCTATCAGTGTTGGTATCGCACTGACCTCTCTGTTCAGCCGAACCAGCAAACATACCTTGCCTCTGACATGTCTCAAAGTGATGACTGGTTCCTTGATTCAGGAGCTACATCTCATTTAACTTCCAATATTCAGCAGTTGCAGTCTCCATAATCCTATACTGGTTCATCTCAAGTTCAAATCGGAAACGGAAAACTGCTACCTATTGCTAACTCTGGACAGGGCATCCTACCCACTCCTATGCGTAAGTTTCTTCTTCGACGTCTTCTTCATGTGCCAACTCTTTCTCATAATCTTATATCTGTAAATCGACTTATTAACGATAACTCTTGTTCCGTTATTTTTTATTCTAACGGATTTACAATAAAGGATTCTCGGACCAATTGGACTCTCCTCCAAGGTCCCAGTCATCGCGGTCTTTACCCCATTAAATCCTCCTCTAGTTTGCAGTCTTCGGTCTCCTCCACTGATCAAGCTCTACACACTACCACTGTTAATGCAACTCAATGGCATCAGCGCTTGGGTCATCCGGCCATCTCCACTCAGCGTCTTCTATCTACTGTTCTTCCTACTAGCACTTTATCTAATACTAGTTTTCATTGCTCTGCCTGCGTGCGAGCTAAATCGCATCGTTTGTCCTTTATTTTATCTAGTCCAAAAACTACTAAATGTTTGCAATTAATCCATAGTGATATTTGGGGACCATCTCCAGTTGTTTCTTTGAATGGCTATAAATATTATTTGCTCTTTGTTGATGACTATACAAGATTCTCATGGGTTTATCCGCTTCGAACTAAGTCTGAGAAGTTTAAAATTTTTGTCAAATTCAAATCCATGGCGGAAAATCAATTTCAAAGCTCTATTAAATGTCTTCGAACGGATGGTGGTGGAGAATATATAAATCACTCATTTAAAAAGTTTTTAACTCATTATGGCATTGTTCATCAGGTAACATGTCCCTATACTCCTCAGCAAAATGGTGTTGCCGAGCGCAAACACCGGCACCTCCTTGATACATTGCGTGCCCTGCTTTTCCAATCATCTCTGCCTCATGTTTTCTGGCCGGAAGCCCTTCTTACCGCAGCTCACACTATCAATAGATTGCCATCACCTAATACTAAACATAAATCTCCCTATGAACTTCTTCATCTTCAAAAACCAGACTACACACACTTCCGTGTCTTCGGGTGTTTGTGTTATCCTTGGATTCCCCCTTCTCTTCATCACAAATTCATGCCACATGCTGCACCTTGTATATTTCTGGGATATGCTGAGCCTACTAAAGGCTATAAGTGTTTCAATTTGACTACTGGTCGTATTCACCTTTCGCGGCACGTCAAATTCTTTGAATTCGTATTTCCTTATCAAAAATCTGCCACGCCCATTAACTCTGAAACTCCTTCAATTAATCTACCACCATCTCTTCTCATACCTACCCAACTAACATCTCCTCTTACTAAAATCAATACTGCTCCTATAAATATCCAACCAGCACCTAGTTCGCTGCCTGTCCCTTCTCCAGCTCAATCTTCAGCCTCCACTTCAATTCCTTTACAATCCCCTCAGCTCCCATCTCCTCAGCCTGTCCAGACTAAGCATTCAATGGTTACCAGATTTCAAACGGGACATCTTCATCCAAAGAAGATTTTTGACCTTCACACTGCTATTATCCCGACACAGCCAACATCTTATTCCCAGGCTGTCAAATATGAACCATGGAGATGGGCAATGTCGTCAGAATTTGATGCCCTGCAAACTCAAGGTACTTGGACATTAGTTCCTCCCTCACCCGAGTACAATGTACTCGATTGTAAATGGCTCTATCGTACCAAATTTAACCCTTATGGCTCAGTTGCTCGGTACAAAGCTCGGCTTGTGGCTCAAGGATTTAATCAGGAATTTGGTCTTTATTACTTTGATACATTCAGTCCCGTAGCTAAGTTTCCAACAATTCGAATCCTTTTTGACATTGCTGTTAACAATTCGTGGCCCATACTTCAGTTAGATGTATCAAATGCATTTCTTAATGGAATTTTACAGGAGACTGTCTACATGAAACAGCCGCAGGGGTTTATTGATGCTCAACTCCCTACATATGTCTGCTGCTTGAAGAAAGCTTTGTATGGTCTTAAACAGGCTCCGCGCAAATGGTTTGATACTTTTACCAAATTTCTTTCGGAATTTGGTTTTAAAAAGAGCCTAGCTGATCCTTCTCTTTTTATCTACACTAAAGACACCTCACGTCTCTATCTACTTATCTATGTGGATGATATACTACTTACTGGAAATGACTCTTCCATTACATCTATATTAGTTCACCACATGCAGCGGAAGTTTAAGCTCAGCAACCTTGCTCCCGTATCCAATTTTCTTGGCATTCAGGTACAGAAACATTTGTCTGGTCTGCATCTTTCGCAAACAGCATATGCTATGAGTTTATTGGAACGTTCTGGCATGCAAAATTGCAAACCAGTTCAGTCCCTCCTTCCTACTAAGCTACCGTCTGTTACAGCAACCTCTCCACTTTATTCAAATCCTGAACAATATAGGCGGCTTGTTGGTGCTCTTCAGTACCTCACTATTACGCGACCTGATATCTCTTTTGCTGTTAATCTGTTATGTCAACAAATGCATCAACCGTATGACATTCATTTTCAATTACTCAAGCGCGTTCTTCGCTATATTCGTGGGACATTATCGCTCGGTCTTCCTATTACTTCTTCCTCGCTCAAGCTACATGCCTACTCCGACTCTGATTGGGCTACCGACCCGGCAACTCGCCGCTCCATTTCTGGCCATTGTGCCTTTCTTGGTAGCACACTCATTTCCTGGTGTGTTAAAAAGCAGACGACTGTTGCTCGTTCCTCGACTGAAGCAGAATATCGCTCCTTGGCTCTTGCTACTGCCGAAGTTCTTTGGCTGCGTCAGCTTCTACGGGACTTCTCTATCACCACGACTCAGCCAACTGAACTCTACTGTGACAATAGTTCTGCGCTTGCTCTTGCTCAGAATCCAGTATTTCACTCGCGTACAAAGCATATTGATATTGATTTTCACTTTATTCGTGATTGCATAGCTCAGGGTAAGCTCACTGTACATCATCTTGCTTCAGAAGATAAACCTGTGGATCTTTTTACTAAAGCTCTGTCCATAGGCCGGTTTCAAGCCCTGCGTTCCAAGCTAACGCTCTGTGAACAGAGCCTTACCTTGAGGGGGGGGTGTTAGCGCACCTTTTTTTGTGTTAAGAGTCAAAACATAATTTTTTGATGGGCGGAATTTTAATTTAAATTTTTTATAATAATTGTTAAACTATTTGTCATCTAAAATAACTGTCACCCACCATTAATATTAAAGTGTGATAAAATAATAAAAGATTAAGATTGATATGTGATAATACAAATTAATAAATTAAAAAACTATAAAGTTGGTAGCTAGGATAATTGAATCATCATTTATTAAATTAAAATGGCATTAAAAATATTTAAAAAAAAACTTTTTTAATTATTTTAAAAATAATAATTTTCTTTTTATTTTTGATTGAATCCCTTGATTTGCTCGCATATAAAAATACTCCCATATATAGAATAATGATATGTGTCATTTGAAGAGTTGAATAATCTTTGACTTCGTATGATGCAGCCATACAAAGAAACCATACAAAGAATACAACAAAAGATAAAGATGACATTAGCTGATATTCATTAATAATCATGCAATATTTACATTATTTTATGGGCAATATAGTATTCAAATGTTTCATATTTGCTGGTTTTGTGGTTGCAGTCTTGGCCATCCCTCTTATGAGTTAACTTTCTTCTGGGACTCTGGTATTCCATAGAGTATTTACTATTTTTTGTCCTCTATTTCGCATTATAATTTTTGATGCTTGTTTACTTTTTCTTCTAGTATCCTTGCAGGCCTGTTTTGCAGGTTTTTGGAGCTCTGCGCTCGTTTTGTGTAGGGTACGTGTGCTGTTCGAAGGGATATGCTGATAGTGCTTATTTTTTCCCTTTGTTTTTTGGTTCTTAGAATGTTACTAGATTTTTGTGTAATTCTGCTTAGTAGGAAACTCAGGCTCTTATGTTTCTTTTTTATTTTGTTTGTAGCTCTTATGAGCATTAGTGAGCTAGAGATCTTTTAAGGACTATGTAATTTTTTCCTATATTAACGTGTAGGCCCGTAGGTGGGTTTTAACAAAAAAAAAAAAAGTTTCATATTTGCTAAGAGTAAGAAAGAAAAATATGGCTCAAAAGACTATCCTCAAGCATAACTTTAGATGTATGGTATATTGTATAACAATAATAATAATAATTAACTTATCATAATTAGGTTTTATATAATCATGTTGAAGACACTATCGAAAAAAGAGCTACCATGCTAAAAATGGTCTTTTTCCTGTTATTTTTCTGTGTCACAAAATTTCTTGCATCTTTTTGACAACTGCTGCAAGACCGTCGCGAATGCATAACAACGACATTTCAAGACTGTTGGGGATAGCAACAGTTTTAATTAACCACCACAATTCTATAGAATTACGACGGTTATAACCGCCACTATATCATAATTAGCTTATAACATGTCATCTTAAACACTAAAGATAACAAATTTTAAACTATTTGTTTCTTTAACATGATCATATGAGTTCTAATTATAACACAATAATTATTATACTAGAATGCATGTTGAAGGACAAAAGAAAACACTATTCATTTTATCTATGAATAGAACAAATGTTAAGCAACCATAAAACAAAGGAGAAATTTAACCACAAATCATAAACACCCAATCAATATATATATATAATATTCACACCACTGACCAAAAGTATATAAACATATACATAAATATGATCTGTTCATGCATGCAAACAAAGCACGTATTATAATTTATTACATCGAAGGCTGAAGACCAAGTCGGAGCTCCAAATCCAATCCTCTTGCTTCCCCCTCGTCTCTCTTCATCCTCATCTCCTCTCCGCCCTTACCATCTCTTCTTCCATGGTCATCTCTAAGAAGCCTCAGCTCATTAACCCTTCTCTTCGATCCCAGAGAGAAGAAAGAAAGTTGAGAAAGGTTAGAGTAGTAAGGGTTGTACTTATACGACGAACTATGGCCGCTCCAACTGTACTCTTCTTTTGACTTAGTCTGTCTCAGGATCTTCGCTCTATCTTTGCGATGGATGTTCATGTGACCTCCTAGAGCTTGTGCTGTGCAGAAGCCTCGCTTGCAGAAGATGCAGAGATATGAGCGGTGGATGCCGGTGTTGTCCTCATCGGAGATTTGCTCCGGCAAGGTGGGTTGTTGAACTTCCATATGGAGCTTAATTATCAAGAAGAGCTTGGAGAGAGAATGAAGGGTTTAATTGGTGCTGGTTATGGCTGGCTCTGGCTATATATATAAGGGTTTGAATTTGAGTGACATCATTGCTTCTATGTGTTTAGGTCATCCTTCTCAATGGAATTTGTTGGGTGTGGTTTTTGGAAAAGTTAATACGTCCGGACAAAAAATCGAAAATCCGGACGAATACATATCGAGCGATACCGAGTGTTGTACCGAGCATATTACCGAGCGCCCAAGTGACGTGGCGCTTTGTCATTGATCTCTGGACGCATTCGGTGTCCGGACATAATAATTACTCATGGTTTTTGAGCTAACGGATAGTGTGGGAATTTGATAATTTTATATTAGGAGGTTACTTGTTGAAGATTTCTGAAAGCTTAATTTTGTTGGAGAATTTTTTAATAATTGTTGAGAAATAATTTAATTGAGGATAATTGCTTGGATGGAACTCCTGAGTTTTGAATTCAACTGAAAATGTGTTCTCATATTATTAAATTAATCTCAATATTAATATATTCAAATATGTGTATTTTTTTTGTCTTTAGAGTGTTAATATTCAAATTGCTAGAAGTTCATGTGTGATTTTTTTTTTCCTTTTTTTTATTATATTTTTTGCAGTTATTCTTTTATTTTTTTCCTATCCAAGAAGATGCAAGTTCGTTTATGTTTTAAAGGTAACTTAGCCAACAAGCAAAGGAAAATATAGAAGGGAAAGAATTACTACAAAATCAAAAGTCACAAACATAGAAAAATGAGTGAATCTAACTCAAAAGGTATTTTAGGCTTCATTTGGGATGATTTTTTTACTGCTTCTTAAAGCAGCTTTCTAGTACAAAAATTAAAATGTATATACTAGAAAGTTATTTTAAGAAACAGTAAGAGTTGTCCCAAACGAAACCTTAGTATCAAGGGTGGAATTAGGAAGAGCTCAACCCACCCTAAAATCCTTTTTTTTTCTTTGTAAAATAAACATTTTAATTATTTTATCCATCTTCAATTATAAATACAAGCAATTGCCCGAATTCTAATCATTTTTTTATATCATATATAAGATTATACATTTCATAATCCAATCTTGTATACCCTCAAAAGAGAGGCTAGTTTCACCCCAGATTAATATACCTGAAAATAGTAGAGATTCTATTGAAATGAAGTCTCGTCTCATTTGATTTTATCTAATCCTTGTTATGCCATTTTGACGAAGGACATTAAAAGAGACTAGAATTTTTGGAAGATCATCTCCATATCTAATATTCTCATGCATGGAAACTTTTTAGACAAAAAATATGTTAAAAGGACTATTTTAAGGTACCATAAGATCAATAACATCAATATGATAAGAATTAGAAATATGTGGTGAAAGATAACCCAACTATTTATATTGAGAAAAAAACATTTGATTATATAATTAATGAAATAATCATTCTACTCTTTCAAAATATGAAAAATAGTCATCATAAATTATAAGTTTTTGCCATCTTTTACTTTTTGTTTTTAAAATAACAAATTCATAAAGAAAGAAAAAAATTAATCTGACAATGCCTATCCCAATCCCAATCCCTTACTGCATCCAACAATCTTGATCTTTGTATTTGAATATAGTAATATAATAATTAGTTATACAGAAATATATATTTTAAATGAAAATTATCGGTATTTAGATTATCATTTCTTTTGCATGATGAGTCAATGAGGCCAATTTTCTTTCCCAACGATCTAGTAGAGACAAGGAAAAAAAAAAACTAAGGTCACGGCCGGGCAGCCATGAACAGATTGCACTTGCAGTAAACTATTCAATTAGTTTACTTTTTCTTCAAATTAATTAATCAAAACTTTCAAAGCTTTGTCATTTAGGGTTTCGTTTGGGACGGCTTTCTTACTGCTTCTTAAAGTAATTTTTAGTACAAAAATTTAAAATTTTGTACTAAAAGATTATTTTAAGAAGCAATAATTAAGCCTTCCCAAACGAACCCTTGATTTATTGTGACTGCAACTTCTATCCATGCAAGTTTCTATAGGCTCTTCTCGACCATGCATCTCTGCCTTGACATTAACGGCCAATTTTGAAGCTAATTAAAGCTTTCTGTTTCGTTTGGAATGACTTTCTTATTACTTTCTAAAACAACTTTTTAGTTCAAAAAATTTTTATACTAAAAATTTGATTTAAAAAATAATAAGAAAGTCGTCCAAATGATTAGTTTTCTATGGTTAGACGATTAGCACAAACTCTTAAATCAAATATTTTTATATTATACTACTTCTATCTGCACCCCGCAGTCCCAATCTCCCAGATGTTTGACAACGCCATTTTGTAGGCAGAATTTTTGTAAGTGGGGGATTTATTTATAAGACGCTTCTAGTCATCTAAATCTGCAATTTATTGACTAATATAATACTCCATTAACTTCTTCTTAAGCTTCATTTAGGATAACTCTTAATTAAAATTTTTTACTAAAAAGCTGTTTTAAGAAGTAGTAAGAAAGTTATCCCAAACGAAACCTAAATCTAACGGAATCTAACCAGACAATGAAGAGATGAGAAAGTCACGATACGAGCTCTTTAGGATGACAATGAGATGAGAGAATCACAACGAGCTTGGAAGAGCATCCATGCAACTTCTAAGTATATAAAGGATGAAGAAGAGATGAAGAAATGACATAGGAACTCATTGATAAAGGGCGTAGATAATACTATATTTGTGGAAGATAAAGAGGTTTCAAAGGGAGGAGATAGAAGAGCATTAATTTTTAATTTTATTTATTTATAAAACTAAGTGTTATATGAGTAAATAATAAATTTTAAAAGTTAAACATAAAAATTAGATATATATATATATATATATATATATATATATATATATATATATATATAACT